GCTGGGAGGCAATTTCCTCCCCTCCAAATCCCGCCCACCTCAGGAAAGGTGCCTTGTGCAACGCTTGGCAGAAAGCAGGCACTTTGCACATGTTTGCTGAACTCAAAAGAGAAAATGAGGAGAGAAAAGTGGGCATTTACGGAAAATTCACAGAGACCTTGCACACAGAGATCTTGGCAGATGTGAAAGAAGTTACGCTGGCCAATCAGGCCCCAGGGACTTGAAACATAGCTAACTTAAAAAAAAAAAAAGTTAAAAATTCGCAAAGGAACTAACTAATAAAACACAAGAAAAATAAACAGTCGCCAAAATCTATTGATAATATTGAAAATTACATGAGAAAATGTTTTTTATTAGAAAAATGACACTTGGAAAGCAATGCTTCTGAACGGGCACCGCAGTCTCTTAGAGACAGTGTGTTGCATAGAGAAAAGCATGCCTGCGTCCAGAACTCTGACATGAGGGCTACCACTGCTGAGATTGCTACGAGGGTCATCTTAAAAAGTGTTCAATTTGTGCAGTAGGTATTTTATGTAAAATTATGGAAGCAAAGAAGTGCTGGGAATTTTTGTTTGGTTTTGCACAGAAATAGACTAAAATCTGCCTGTTGATGTTACAGACATACTAAATCGAATTATGCAAAGCATGAATGTTCTATTCTCACTTTTATCTATTTTATGTAATTAGTGGCTATGGTGCTTGTTGAAATTTTGAAACGTTCACAGCCACATGCATATGCTTATTATTTATCCCCTTTTCTCAGGTGCAAAGAAGGCTACCAAGGAGTCCGTTGTGATCAATTTCTGCCGAAAACTGACTCCATCTTATCGGATCCAAGTAGGTCAAGCATTTTTCTTCTCTCACACAATATTTAGGCAGCCCGGACTCTGAGCAATGGCTGCTAACTCAGCTGGAGGCTGCGTTGCACTCGTGTGACTCTGCAAGCTGCCAGGGTGGGTGCTGATGACAGGGTTAATGTTCAAAGCTCGCTCAGAACTAACCAGGTCTAGGTCCGGGTCTTCTGGATGGGGCCTGGTCTTCACATTCAACTCCACTGCCAACTAACCGCCCCTGGGGACTTCATGGAAGCTGGCCGCCTTGGCTTTCAGTTTCTGCCATCCACTTCCACCCCATTAGGAAAGCAAGGATATAGGAAAAGAAAAGTACTTATTATTTATCCAAAAGAATTTGTAGAAGCTAAAGTACCGACCTCTGGCTAGTAATTTGTGATAATATTAAATCTATTAACCTTTTATCTGACTTATTGAAATATGGAAATATGCATATCAAATTATATAACAAGTTTTCAAACAGAGAAACCCCATTTTAGCAACACTATTTGCATATCAGTGATTACTACTAATATTTTTTCATGAATGAAGACAATTTCCCATTAAGAAATATTTCTAGTCATGAGTTTCTTTTTCTATGTGAAGTTAAAAGTAGAAATATTGCGAGCCATTGGTTTATTTTCCTACATGAAGTTAAAAGTAATGTTCTGTACCATTATGCCCAATTCTAGTCAAATGTGGGATTTTTACTCTATGTGTAAATAATCTTCTGATGTTGCAATGACTGCTATAACTGAGTCACTTCTAAGGCAAGATAACTTTTATTCAATCAGCAGTTTAGTTCAGTGAAGATAATGACAGGCATTTCCAATCGTAAAGGCAATGTTACGGTTTTCTAATTACCAATCATGCATAACATAAATTGAGCAAAGCATTGCGTATTGACAACAGACAGAGGTCGCCTATCTGCTAGTATGCATGTTGCTGCACAATGAATGTGGCTAACCATCTTTTAACATCTTTTCAAAATGCATATTTTCATTTTGCCCCTGAATTTCTAGCTGTGTTTCATCAAGAAAATGTAAAAATTTTTAAAGGAGAAATTTTTCTTTAATTTAATTTGACTGTGTTTTACCTTGGTAAGGTAAGTCACTATACAGTGTCTACTACTCTTCTTCACAAATTTAGCTCTCCTTGAGAAAGGTGTGTGCGTGTGTGTGTGTGGGGCGGGGGGGGGGGGTTTTAGTTCTGGCTGTGGGTTCTCGCTCCCTTCCTGACAGGTTACTTACGAGTCACTCACTTGTCAATCAGCCATTTGGTCTCCAGGGGGGGGGGGGGGGGGGGGGGGGGGCGAGGGAAGAAGGTCGCCTAAAACCTAGCAACAAAGCCAGCCATGGATTCTCTGCTCTGTGAAATGCGAGGCCCTGCTGTCCAGGAATTGCCCAGACAGGGGCAGATACCAGAGTATGTTGTATCTTTTTCCCCTGTGATTTGGTCACATGCTAAGCTGATGCCTGGAAAGTATGGTTGTGGATAGAGACATGTATTTGGAATTATTAGCAAGTTTACACAGAAGAATGAGCTTGCTGATTCTTTCTTTATCTTTTTCTTTCTTTTCTTTGACATTCTCTCTGACCTAGTTCCCTTCTTTGTTATGCTTTCTTCCCTTTCTTCTTTCTCTTCCCTTGTTTTTCCTTCCCTTCTGTTTTCCCTTTACTTCCTTCTCTTTCTTCATTATTCACTTTCCCCTCTACCTTCCTTCTCTCCCTCATCTCTCCCTTTCTTCCTTCTCCCTTCCTCTTCTTCCTTTTCTTTTTCTTTTCATATATAGCTGTGGAATCTCTATCAAGGACAGTGTTCTGGAAAAGGGTTTGAATATAGTATCACATGGTGAACATAATCCCTTTTAAACAATAATTAAACTCTTGCCATCCAATTGAATATCATAGTGCATCACTTCAGAGGTTGAAGGTGAGGTCCCTTATAAAGACTGTATGCTCCTCAAAGAAAAGTGATCCAAGATCAGACAGTAACCATGTAAACCTATGTCATATATACATGAAAATAAGTAGTGCAACAATATTCATAATAGTGAAACAATGGGCACGGTCTAAAAATCAGCAAGAGTATATTTAAGTAAAACATAATATGGCACATCTATCATGCTCTATTAAATTATCATTAAAATAATAGCTGTATGAAATAATCTTACTAAGTGAAACAGCAAGATGGAAATTATTTTCATATAAGATTGCAGCAGGAACATCCTTTGGTAAAATGATAAAAACACACAGACCCTAAAATGCAAAAGGGGGACTTTAAATGTTTGGACTATGTAAGTATATGGAATTTTTTTCTCTTTTTTCCTGTTTTCTATAAAATGGCACATGATTATGGGAATAAAGCTGTGAGAATGCCTTGAAACAAAATGTAAACAAACAAACATTGGGAAACCTGTGGATGAATCCTTGAGGCGCAGTTTAATTGAGAAAAACATTATACCTTCCATTCATTCATGCATCATCCATTTATTTATGCAATTATTAATTCATTTCACAAATATTTTCTAAACATCCACCAACAGCCATCTAATCAGTCAGATCCTGTTAGTACAAAGGTGTGCAAACAGGATTCAGGCTCCAAGACCCCCCTGGCTGGACCAAGTAGCTCAGTTAGTCCTAGTGCCATCCTGATTTGCCAAGGTTTTGATTCAATCCCTGGTCAGGGACACATACAAGAATCAGCCAATGAATGCCTAAATAAGGGGAACACCAAAGAGTGTTGCTCTCTCGCTCCTTCTCTCTAAAATCAATAAATAGACATTAAAAATAGTAAAAATAGTACTAGTAGGTTGATATCACTGAGACTGAGAAGAAGTCAGTGCCAGATAAACATTAGCCCATTTTCTGTATTATAATCATACTAGTAGCAGTGCGCACAAATCCATGCCCCAGTAGCTCGCCAGTAGCTTGCTGCTGCCCTCCAGTAGCTCTCCGCCCGCTGCCCTGCCCTCCTGTAGCTCCCCCGCCCCCTCTAATAGCTTGCTGCCATGCCCCCCTCCTGCAGCTCTCCACTGCCAGCTTGTAGCTCAGCTGCCCCAACCTCCTGCTGATCCATCATCTGGTGGTTACGTGATCAGTCATTATGCTTCACAGTGTGACAACCATTTGCATATTACATCTTTATTATATAGGACTAGTATGTTTAGGATTTACAAGTGCCAGGCACTGTGCTAGAGAACTTTACCTAGATTATCTCATTAAAACCCTCATAATCATGGTCTAGCAGAGAGTTTCTGGCAATAGTTCACATTTTATAAATGAGGAAATTAGGCCTAAGAGATGTTAAACAGACTTGCCCAAGGTTACACAGCTGGTTAATGCTGGAGTCTACCTTCTAATCCAAATAACTTGAGGGCCTGAGCTCCCAACCAGGCCTCTTTTCTTCCTTCCTTTGCCCCCTCCTTCCTCTAGTTATTTTCAATATGGCATTTATCACTCTAAATTTCATTGACTGAGACTCAATGACCTGCAGCAAACATCAGTCTAAGGAACAATATTTGCACAATTTTCATATCTTAATGCAGCAACTTGAGCTTCCATAGAGATTTAAATCCCTAATGAAATTTTCCTGTCAAAATTCTTGCTGAAGGATCGTTTAATTTGCTGCTCGTGATATCTTTGGAATGACTGGGCGCAGGAAACCAGCTTCCCTCAACACCCTCTCTCTGACACCCGACACCCTTTCTCTCTCTCTTGCTTCTTCCCCACTGCTGACTGTGTGCTGTGTTTAGGGAAATCCCAATTAACAGAGGATTGGAAGTGTGGGTGTGTGTTTGATTCTCCCCCAGGCAATGCAGAGTTGATCTGAAATGTGAATCTGTGCCAATTAATATAAAACTAATACTAAAACTTCTAATTATATGCATTTGGGGCGACAGAGCCAGGCCTTGCACGGAGAGGCCCAGTGGCAGCTCTGACCAGTGTCTTCAGTGTGGCCCCAGGCTGCGTCCTCAGCCCTGCTATGTCAAAAACCTATCTCTCTGCTCCTTTCATCCCCCCAAGAATCTGTAGTTAATTCCACTCAGGAAAACATGTACACACGAGAATCAAACTTACAAAGTGCTTTGATCTTAGTTTTTTAAAAAATATCTAAGGCATATAGCTGCCACGTTAATGGAGCCCTCATAGCATTCAGCTTGCATTGCGATCACAGGTGGATAGCGGGCAGGGCTCCGGAGCAAGGCAGTGAGAGGAGCAAACTATGGCCGGGACCACGAGCGTGTGGTCTTCAGAGGAGGAAGCCGCAGCAGCCAGGGTAGATATTGCTGAAGGCACATTTCTGCACCCTGCCTCCTGCTGCAGCCAGGCCTGCCCTGGAGAGCAGAGGTCAGCCTCCCGGCAGCCTCATGATCTTCTTGGCAATTTCTAATGCCATGACTTCAGAACCAGTCTCCTTTCCCTGCCACAGGATCAACCTGTGGACTCCTGTGCTATTTCCTCATCCTTACTGCACACACCCACCTAGGCCAGGTTCCCTCCCTAGCCTCAGAGCAAAGCTAGATGGAACTCTAGGACCATGAGCTGGCCAAGGATTCAGGCAGATATTTTCCAGGTCTCCCCTCTTAGGAGCACCATGCCAACCCCAGTTATCATGATCCTGATTCCATCACTGGCCAAAGCGAGAGCTGCTCCAGAGCATGGATGCAGAGCAGAATCCAAGAAACGTGCTGAATAAGAAGATATCAGACCTCATGGTGCCTGCTCCCCACATCAGCACCCAGCACCCTGATCCCCATGGTGGTGATATGGGATTTTGGGACTGGAACATGCGGTGTTCCCTGATTCTTTGTCCATCAGAGTAAAATCCATAGACAGGAAGTGGTATAGCAAAAATAAAGATTTATTGAAGAACAAGTACAGACTCCCATATGGGGAGCGAGAAAGAGACCCACCGAGTCCCTGTTTCCATGGCTTATAAATCCATGGCTTCAGATCTTGGTGCCTTGAGATCCCCTCTGATTGGTCACTGTTCCCTTGGACTGGT